GTACCAGAACAATCATCGTAACCGTATAGATTATAGAGTTAGCTAGAATACTTAAATCTCCACACATAACTCTAGTACTTAGTCCTGTGCAGTTGAAACCAGTTCCCGTCAAGCTTAATTACCTAAATTTCACCATTCAAATCTTTAATTTATGGGTTTTTTTCTTACGTACATTCACATCTCAACGAGACTTGTATCCTCACTGTTCCCCATTGAAAAGGAGAAAACTGATAACAACAAATCGTTTCGACACCTAAAAAGATGTAATTCAATTCCCATATTAAAGATAAGAAGAGTAAAGATGAAGTGTTAATTGGGCCGGGCCCTCATCAAATAGTGATATAGTATACATGGAACTCGTGATCATAAAGCAACTGAGAATCAGTATCGAACAAAGGAGCACTGGATCATAAAAGAATGGAACCGAAATGTTGGTGACGGCCAATAATAATGTTGTGGTTAGCAAGTAGTTGCATTTTTTAGGTAGTATAGATGATAATTCTGTTGCGCCATTAATGTTGAGTGGTACGTAGTGGAGTACATCAATATAGAAGACTCACACACGTACTAGATTGTCTTTATTGAAGCAAGCATTCTTAATGGACCATACTGGATTTCCATGTGCTTTTCTTTACATATATAGTATATCATATTATTAGCTACAGTCTTCTTTGTGTGGGAATTCTTCCACACAGCAGAACATGGATGAAAATGACGATAAGTCCCAGTTATATATAATACATATATATAATGGATCATATTGTATATGTTTGAAGCTTTGCACTTCGTGCACATATATATAAGCAAATTGTGGAGTTTGATCAATAGTGACTGATGAAGAAGATGGATCCCAAGTGTCTGTAACGTTTGTTTACAAGTCACATCGGTTCCCTCTCTCGCGTGGCTTCCTTTATTAATGTTGGACAGAATTTGTAACTCACGCGCTACAGATCTCTATCATGCCTTGATGATCATTTTCATCTTTTGTGTACATGATGCTTCCTTTCCCTGATTAATTCATGTTTAATTTAGGCTCATCCGATCCTCCAGTAGGTTCATTCTTAAAGATGTCAACAAATTATAAGTGATTTCTTTAATTCTACTTGTCGTAGCCAGATCGACCAAGCTTTAATTCAAGTGTATTACTAACATTATCCCTATATAATGAAAAAAAGAAGGAATAAGCAATAGAATGGCCATTGAAACATGCCTTGAAATTTTGGTGGGATAGTTAGCGTGTAGTACTGTCATCAATTAATGAATAATCCAATTCATTTGCTGGTGATATGATACTGATAATTTATGAAGTATTATTGGTGGCTTTGCCAGTCAAATCCAATAGAGAGAGACCAATAATATTGCGAGGTGTGTTATTAGTGAGAGGAAAATGAATGAGAAAAGGAGAGAAAGGATAGTGAAGCAAAAGAATGTGTAATCACATGCAGTTTTCCTTGGCGGTGGGGGACAAAACTATATGTTTTGTTACATAATTTTTGTAGATAATATTGAACTAACACTACTTGTGATTGGCCAATTCGTATTGGATAAATTCAACTTAAATAATTTTCGTGACATGGGGTCCTAACACCTTCAATTCTGATTTGATGCTATTTTTATATAGCCCGTCGAACCATTTAATTTCTTGCTAATCAACTCCTCCACTTTATCCTACTGTGTGAACGTGACCTCTACAGTGTGCGCGGTTCATATATATTGAAAACGATGGCATCATGTGTCCAAAGATTTTTATTTGATGCCTTTTGTGCGATATATATATATAAAATGTGCATTAATATTTAAATGTCTTACGTTTAATAATTTACCAATGCAGATCGTGAAGTATAATCTAAAGTAATCCAGCTTCTTTAATTTGCTGTAATGTTTTCTCCTCTGCTGCTTCACAACAAAAGTCATACTATAAATAAGCATTTGTGTGCAACATGAATTTTGTAAATCTCACTGCCTTAATTATTTAGTCAAGAAAAACTATATGCGCAGTGAAATAGATAAATGGATTGAATTAATACACATAAGCTATGTCAAATTATTGTTCGGAATAAACTACTTTAGCACTCATTACATATATTGGCGACACTCTTGCGTTTGCAAAACAACGACTCACCAAGATTCCAATGTTACTGTCATATGAAATAGATAGTGACATACATATATCTGTGCATGTAACGATTTTCAAAAAGCACTTTAATTGTCGACAAATATAATGTGGTTCATCTTTGTTTTGTTCCCTGTCAACACATGTATCCTAATTAATCATATCTTTTGCTAAGAAACTCCCAAAGAAAATGGACGTGTAAAGGGGGAAAGTGCAAAGGGAGAAAAGCCAAAACAACACCACTAATGGAAGCGATTAATACGATAAATGAAGATTATAAGCTGATTCAGCAGCCAGCTTGATTAATTAATTGTAACTTGTAAGCAAGAAAAAGAGCAGTCATGATCTGATGATAATAACTCCTCCCACTTGAAAACTCCCAAGTCCTCTCCTTGTACGTCGTCCCGCAAATCTATGTCACAGTAGCTCATCATCATCATCCTCATCATGATTAAACCTTTCTGCAATGGTGGCCAGATCTATGTTCCCGTATGCAAAGTGCACAACTGTGCACTACAGAAGCTTGATTTGGACAATCGAACTAACAGCAGCACTGAAACAGTCTCCCACACACACAAAACACAACGCTATATATAAAAATATAAATGTGTGTGTGTGTGTGTGTGTGTGTGTGTAGGCAGTTTAGTTTGGTGGGAGAGAAGACGAGGAAGTGTGGGGTAGCTGAGGGCGTTGAATGGCATGTATAGATGGATTTGTGAAATGGAGAAGAGGAAGTGAGGTAGTGGGTGGTTCGTGAAGGAAGAAGGACCACGTACTACGTAGTAGAAAGGAATAAGACGAGGGAAAGAGGGTATGTATGATTGGGCATGAAACCCACCTTTTTAAAGCCCAGGACAAACTTCCAACCCATCCATATGTACTGTTCTCGTTTCGCCAGCACTATAATGCTTTTGTCCTCGCGTCACATCCTTACGTGCCCATCATCCATCCAATTCCACTCCGACATATATACTAGTAGGTTTCAAGCTGATTTAAAATAGTTTATAAGTAACTTTTCAATTATGATTTGTGAAATATGAGGTAAGTATATATATATAAGAAAAGATTTATCTAGATTTATGTGAATTATGCTTATAAATACTTACAAGTGTGACTCTAAACTGACTCTTCCTTAGTTGTCCAATGCTCCAATAGCGCACAGAGGTTCAGATGTGAATATGTGTTAATATGAAAAGGTTGAACACAATGTGGATAGTTAAGTGCTTGTCTTAAATGTAGAAACTAATTGAAAGATTTATGTTGATCATAAATGAAATACGCTAATCCACTCTCTCTCAAATTAATAATTTTTTCAAACTATTCTTATCAATTACGCATATGTATTATGGAAGGGTTTTATATAAAAGTAATTTTCATTGAGAATGGTTAAATAAACATTTAAAAAAATCAACACATGTTTTTTTAGAGATGATAACTTAGTTAATTTCTTTAATTATCAAACTTCTATATTTAGAATTAAAAAGAATAATAAACTTCATATACTGTCAAGTCAGGGAGGAAGAGAGAATTGGGGCCACTCAACATGGTATTGGTCACGCTTGCCCAGCTAGGGCCATAGATGCCTTTTACAACAAACAAGAGGTGGTTGAAAGGGCTATCAATGCATCAGGGTTCAAATCAATCATCAATACAATGATATTAAATCTACTATTTTCCATTAATGTTATGTTATCAAGTTTATACTAATCCATAAAATATGTGGGAAAATGTTTAATCTAAAATAAAGTACGTAGATGGGTGGGCTGGGCCTTGTTGATGATCCTGGGCCCAGAGAAGTTAACACCAGAAACAGTGGAATAACTGTGTCTCCGTGCTGTGACCCACTGGGTTCTGTCAAGACTGGAACGTAACGGAGGATAATTGGGTCCATGAATATATTATTCTGCACCATTAATCATTAATCAATCATTACATTGAATAATAGTAAAAAGAATTAACTCGGTATTCCTTTCTTCTTCTTCTTTTTTCGTCAAATTTTATTTTTGGCTTTAACCCCCACTTACAGGGGAATCGTTCAAGAATAACTTAACAGTTGAAGTATATATTCGAGGGAATAGAACAATTTAAAGGGTATTAGGTCCAATCCAATACCTTTACTATCATCAACTTAATTAACGACCCGTAAAGTAGTGGATGGAAGGAACGTTTGGAGTTAATTTAAAGAGTACTCTGCACATGTGCATGAATTATAAATTAAATATATTAAGACAAGAATCTAAGATTATCGCACCGTCGCACGTACACGTGATTAATAGCAATATCAAGTACAGCTAAATAGCAGAGTCTTCTAGATTAATAGTAATAACAACATATCACATGTAGTCCGATGATTACCAAAAACACCAAGTCTTGTACGTAATTCCATCTTTCTCTTCAGTTACTTCTTGATTTGTACAACTACTAAATTATTTAATTACATCGTATACTACACAATTTTTTTGAAAATATTTATGTATATCATCAGGTTATTTATTTGAGTCAAATCAGTTTGAAGAAAAATAATAAATATAAGTACTTTAAAGTAATTTAGTAACTTTCTTAATCTCTCCAATTAGTTAATTGGGTCTTATATTAAAGACAGAAGATACTACTATCTTATTTATTATTACCCTTATATTATTACTCCTCTAGTCCTTAATGTAAAACCTAATTAACTAATTTGAGTAGATTAAGAATATTAGTTAAATTAGTTAATATGATATGTTTTTTTTTAAAACACTCTAAGCAGCTTCTTTAATTTTCTCCTTCCCTGTCCTACTTAATTATTGTTGGTGGGGTTAATTTGCAAAAAAAAATTGATAAACTTGTAAAATAAGTCTTGCATATAAGACTAACCTCAATTCTGATTATATATTAAGTATGGAGGAGGAGTATATGCTATCCTTAAAGCATATGTTAAGTGAAGTAAGGAGAGAAACATATTGGGATGAAAAAGTAAGCCTCACTTTTAGTTTGCGTGAGATCTTAATTATCAGATGTGAGGCTACTATTCATCGGCTCTTTCTTTTCTCATTCTTAGGTAAAAACCTTGTCAAGTTATTACTACTTGTAACGATACACAACAGGGTGAGAACGCAGACTAGGGTCCCACCACTGTGTAATCCCATGAGCCGCTTTGAAGCACGGCGACTGAGCCCGGTTGATGATTAACTCAGCAGAAGGAAGCAAATGGCGGGGCTCCGAATTTATGTCAAACACATTAGACACGATCAAGCTCTTAAGAGTATGCTTTGTGGCCATATCCTCCAGATCTGCAGCCCCGAGCTCCTTCATCTTCTTCCTCTGCTCAAAATATTCTATATAACCTGAACAAATGGGGTCACCTGGATTCAAGAACAAACAAGGCACCCAATCCGACAGGGCAGAAAATTGATCTTCCTTCTTCTGGTGTTGGCTCCGTAAATAAATAGAGACTCCCGCTTTCACCACAGAAGATGCAATGTGAATTCCTTGACGCAGTTTCGGGTTTTCAGTCCTCTCCAGCGTAGCCGAAGGAAAGGGAGGGTTGAAAAGGTAGGTAGGGAGACGAAAACCCGACATGGCCATGTTCTTGGCAGCGAGCAAAGCTACGGCTGAGCCTAAGGAGTGACCGGTGAGCCAGATGTTGGGAGCACCACCTGCCATGGTAACCCAGTGTTGAACTCTGCTGATGGCGTGGTGGAAGCGGGTACTGTTGTGGAGGGTGCCGAAGAAGGACCGGATGCATAAGAGGAAGTCATTGTAGAGAGGTGGGGCCGGAGCGGTAGTGATGATTCCTCGGAATGCGATGACGTATTTTGGGGAATTGCCGACGATGTTGCCGGATTTGGAGTGAAGCTGGAGGACGGCTCCGACGACAGAGTGATCTGAGCTATCGTGGAGAGTATCGATGAGATGAAAGTGGAAGAAGCGCCACCAGGGAAGAGCCAGAGATTTGGGTCCGAACCGTTTCATTCGGCGGTCGTGTTCATAAACGTACACTCCTTGAACCAAGCTTGCCAGGACGCATCTTCTGTGGTTTGCGTTATTCCTGCATGCATGAGAATCCATAAATATATATATATATATATATATATATAGAGTAACGCTTTAAATGTGGTTGCTGTTAGCTTGTATATAATTTTCATGCGGCAAGAGATTTTAGGAGAGATCACGAACACACCAGTCAACGGATTTGAGATAAGTAGGTCCTGAGATATTGAAAATTTGACACTCTGGCACCATTTCTGCTCTTCTCTGCAAGTCTGTGTTTGATGATCCAACATGTCTGAAATGATTTCGATCAATTATATAAATATATATATATATATATATATGTAGAACTTTGCTTGGGGATCAGAATGAATCTGGAGGAAATATCATAAGTCGTTTGAAGTCCAAAATAGAGTTCCATAACCATAGATTCCTTTCTATATTTTATTCTTTTGGTCGAAGTGTAACTGAAGGAATGAATTCTGTCTTGTTCACTTACGTGGTTCGATGCACGTCATCTCTGGTGCACGTGCAAGTTTCTGAAGGGCCAAAGCAGAGTTGGGCATCGTGAAGAAGAAGAGTCATAGCGCTTTCGGCCTGCGGCAAATGGTGATCGAATTTCCACATAGATTTGACCATGAAGAATGGAATAGAATTTTTTTTTTACCAGCGCAGAATGGAATAGAATTAAAAAATAAATACTACTCTCGGTCTTAATTATAAGAGCTAGTTGACTAATTTGCGAATATTAAGGAAACAAGTTAAATTATTTATTTGTAATAAATAGATGTTATCTTTCTAAAAATATCCTTACTAATCAAGTGTATTGGTTAAAACTACTATTGTTAGAATGACTAACTTGGAAGAAATGGATAATATAATAGACAAAGTGAATTGGGATCTTATATTTAGAATTAAAATAAAAGTCAAACAAAATCTTATATTAAGGACCGGAGGTAGTATAATGAAAATGGAGTATTTCTTTGGCTTCGAAGTTGTGGGATCATTAGATTTCTCATTCATATATTAACCACTCGGTCGCCATTAGCGTTATTTATCTGGAAAGCACCCCGAACTCGTACACTCATATTTGATTTGGATAATTCAGATTTAATTTTTTATTTTTATTTTAAATAAAAATTATTTTTCCAAAAATGATAGTTAGTAGATTATTTTTATTTTAGATGCTATAGTCATTAAAATAATCATTTTAAAAAATAAATATAAATATAAAAAATAAATTAAATTTGGAGCATCCATACCAGATCCAGATAGTCCAAATATGATGATCCCGGGATGTTCATCAAAACTAGTTCCATTGTTAGGTAGCTCGTACATGGGAAAACTATAAATGGGAAGAGATTTCAGGGATCACCGCACTTGTTTAAAGAAGTCAAATCCTATGACAACCGTTCTTTCAAAACCATTTAGATTAAATCCAACAATTTATTTGAAAGATTAACCATGATAGAAAACAAGAAACCTTAAAATTTTACAATCACTATCATGATTAAAAGAAATAAACCTATATTGCAAGCAACATCAATTGTCAACTTGGGCCTTGAACCTCCAAAATCCAGAAATATCATTCAACCATTAGCCCAAACTAAATTTATACTTTCAAAATACGAACTGATAAATCGTTTTAATGTAAGTTATAAAGTTCATTAGTAAAAAATCAACACTTTATAAGAGTGTCACGTGCAGAGTTTTAGAGGTTTCTAGCCTTCTAACGGCCCTCTCATATCAGATAGTAGTAATTAAAAGTATTAATTTACAACATTAGAGTATACGAGCCCTATGTGGCAATATATAACAAATCAGCACATAGAACAAAAGTTGGGAGGCTGTACAAACTATAACGGCACACTATGCCTCTAGAACCTTCCCTGACGGGCCACTACCTGAACTGTCACCTGAAGATAGTAGAAACCACTGGGTGAGACAAATGTCTCAATAACTAACTTTTCAACTCATCATACATACTAACACGTGTTCCTGAGGTGTCAAGTGGGACAATTATCCATAGAAATATAATTTCAATCATCCAAACCCTCACTATGGGGGCTTACACACAAGCCACATAAGTTTATCCCTCACTATAGATGATCAATCGGACATATAGGCCTGTCCTTCACTCTAGGGGACGAATAAGAAGCCACAAAGGCCTATCCCTCACTATGGGGGACGAAGGAAGCTAACCAATGTGCACCAATGACAGCCTTACCACGTGGTAGAACATGACTTAACTCAAAATCCAAATAACAACCAATCATTCACAATATAACGAGAAATGTCTTAATCTCTTCTCAATATAATCCATAAGGTATAAATCATATATTTTTCCAAGCTTCTCAATCACAAATCCAAAAATCTCACAAGACAATTTTCATAGCCCAAAAGTATAACATATCTCTTTGACTTTTAAATAACACGTTATTATTCCAAAATATTAAAATGCTCACAAACAACATATTAGCACATATAATAAGTGGAAAATGGTTATCTCTCACCAAAGCAATAAAAAAGATTACCACAAGATCAATCATTTGCTCAACCAATAATTAATCTACACAATTAATAACAACATACTACCTCCGGTTCTTAATATAAGACCCTGTTTGACTTTTATTTTGGTCCTAAATATAAGACTCCAATCCATTTTATCTCTCATATTTATACATTTTTTTTCCAAAGCAGCCCTTCTAACAATGATAGTTCTAGTCAATACACTTGATTAGCAAGGATATTTTAGGAAAGATAACACTTATCTAGGATAAATAACTAACTCAACTTACTTCCTTAATCTCCTCAAATTAGTCAACTAGCTCTTATAATTAGGACCGGAGGTAGTATTAATATAAGCTAATTAATTAATTAATTAACTAAGCTTATATATATTGGTTAGATTTCTAATTTAATTTAATTTTCATTCTAAATTCTTGCAACTCTTACAACCCAAAATTAAGTATTTTATAAATAACTTAAAATTTTCTAACAAGCCAAATTTTTTTGTTTACAACCTCTGAATTATTTACCTTGATAAAAAGGATTTTCCAAAATTTTTAAATATAAAATTATTATGTTCTAAATTCTAAAAAAAATCATTTTAAGTTTAAACGTCAAAATCAAACCATAAAAAATTCAGTAATATTTCAAATATTTATAAATAAATAATCTAATCAAAACTTTAATGGTATAACTATCATATATATATTTCCATAAATAATAAAACTTTTAGCTAAAATAATTATTTTAAAACCTTCAGTCATCCAATAAATAAAACTAAACCGATTAAAATCTCAATAACATGTCAAACAATCTAAATAAATTATTTAACTTAAATTTAATTGGTAAAAATATAATATAAATCATATATAACAGATTTTTCAACTAAAACAATTAATTTAAGTACTAAAAACTAGTAAATGGACAAATCTAACTGATTAAAATTAACAACTCATTTACCTCTAAATTTCTATAGTCATCTATTACCAAAACTCAAATTTATCCCTCATATAAGTCTCAAAATTTTCTCTAATTACTATAGTAATACTGTAAATGGAAAGCTTAAAATGTATAAAAAATATTCATGAAGAAAGTTTGATAAAAAGAAATATATTTGTGTACCTAGATGATGTCCAAAACTTGTATTACTCTTCAAAATGCTAAAACTTTTCTGCTCCTCTCTCGTTCTCTCTTTCTCTGATTCTTGTTCTCTTTCTTCCTCTCTGCACTTGCAAATTCAGCCTCATCTTCTGTGCCCCCTTCTTTTATTCTTTATTTTTCCAACCACTCTCTCTTAATTTTCTTCTCGCATTAACTCCTCCTCCCCCAAAGTCTTCATTCCTCATCCACATGCCTCAACTTTCCACGCATCAACTTTCCACGAGTCAACTTTCCACGCATAAACTTTCCACGAGTCAACTTTCCACGCTTTAACTTGCCACTGAAGTCGGTGGAAAACTGCTGCTTCTCTTCTTCTTTTTTTAATATTATTATTTTATTATAAAATATTATTATTTTATTTTATTATTTTTTACTAAATTCTAAAATAAAAATATAGGATATTACAGGTCCAATTGAAACTACTACAGCTTGGACCGTGAAAACGATCCAACACATACCAATAATATAAAACTAGCTAAGAGAATTATGTTTAGTTGATGTGAAGATTAATCTAATCAACTGATACATAAAATTTTATACCTATATTGTAATATAAAATTTGTAGAAAATCACGCTATTTATATGTAGATTTTGCACAATACGAATTTTATGGTATCAATAATTATTAATTTTAGTTATCGAGGAATTGTAAAGATTAAAATTTGTAATGTTATTTTACTTTGTTATTGTTATATTGTTGTATTTTCTTGTATATTGTTATTAGTGATTATTAATGTTGTTATATCTTGTTATTTTCAATTAAATTAAATTATTTTAATATGATTGGTTTTATCCCTGTGTTTAACCTAATCTAACCCACTGACTCTTGAAGCACTACTTAAACCTGTTTAGTATCCGGTCCCTTTTTTTATTCATTTGTAAAACTCGAGATAATTAAAACTGCCATTCATATATAAGCCGTACATAACACCCCTTCTAGTCTTAAATTTAATATTTATTTTATAGTATAAATTGCATTATAAAATATGTCTTATATTAAGGATCAGAAGAGTATAATTCATCTTTTATACTCTTCCGATCCTTAATATAAAACCTATTTAACTAATTTGATTAGATTAAGGAAGTTAGGTAAGTTAGTTAATTATAAAAAATATGACATGTTTTTTCCTAAAATACCATAATCATCTTTCTTAATATCCTCCCTCCCTCTTCTACTTGATTATGGTTGAAGGAATATCCATAGAGGTAATTTAAAAAATTTGATAAATATGATAAATAGATCTTATATTTAAAATTAAAATCAATTTAATAATTAAGTCTTATATTAAAGATTATAGGAGGACTTTATCCTAAAGAAAAACACCTTTATAGACACACACATGATAAGATCTGCTGTGAATATTCTTAAGCGTTATTGAGTATTGAACCAGTAACCAGAAGCGGCCCATACAAAAGGTACTAAAACCCGCTCACATGCGTCCAATCCGCTTATGTGAACGATCAATTAGCAGTGATGACGGCATGTTGGCATATATCAGTTTTGATGGTTAACTCGAATTTCGTCCAATCCACTTTTGTCTGCCAGACTGCTCTGCTGCTGAACCTGGAAGTAGTCCTTGTACTTTATGTTCTTGAGCAATGACCCCCCTTCCTCCAGCAGCTCCGGCGCCGGCCCTATCTCCTTCTCCAGCTCTGGTCCGTTCGCCAGCACTATCCTTGTGTCTTTGTTGTTCAATATTGCCCGGTGCAAGATGCTCCTATACTTCCTGTTCCTCACCGCCTAACCAATAATTGAGAGAATAAATGTTTAACGCATATATACATATAGATCGTTGCGTGCGTATAGATATTTAGGAGATGAGGAGTGGGAGTGACCTCAAGTTGATCTGCAGCGTTGACAATGAGGCAGTTGGGAAGAGGATCGACGTTGACCCAC